AGCGAAGGAGGAGGAGGAGGAGGAGGAGGAAGAAGAGGAGGAGGAGGAGGAGGGAGACGGAGAAGAGGCGCCGTTGCTAACAACGCTGGCGACGGTTTCTCCTCAGAGGCTCCGCTTGACTCATCCTTCGCCTTTTCCCCTCATCTTCCGCGGGAAGGGAACGAGGCTTTTGCGCGTGTTCCCAAAGCCGGCTGGAGGCAGCCCCGGCCAAGCAAGCCGACGCTTCCCGTTACTCTTCGGTTTTCTACGGTAAGGTTGGTGGGTCGGTAGTTTCTCTCCCTCCCCTGCACCGCACTCGACGCCCCATTCCCCGACCTCCACCGCTCTCTTCTTTCCCTTTCCCCCTTGTTTGGTCTGCTGTAAATGCTAATGAAAGCCTCCTATTTGCCAAAGTTGGCGGGTCCGTTGTACTGGCGGGGTGGGAGGGAGGCAGGCAGGCAGGCAGGCAGGCTGGGTACATAGTCGCCTGGCACCACATGGGCAGCTTTTCGCTCCTTTATTTAGACGAGGGATGGATGGCGTGCTCTGGTTTTTTTCTTTTTTTTAAACAACAACCCTCCTCTGGTTTTGCGCATGGATGGGGTGCCAAGCCGAGGCTGGCAATTAAGGTGCTTCTTAGGAGGAGCACATTTACTGTCGTTTGAAGTAAAGTCAAGCAGGAGGGAGACGCTTCATATTGATGCTGCGGACAATCGTCACCCTAATAAACCCACGCACCCCTTCTTGGAAAGGTTATTGGCGTGAAGATGCGGATATAGAGGGATATTGTATAGTGTTCTTATCTTTATATCTGCTATTGATCTGACTAAGGAGGAAAAGCAAGGGACAGGAAATGCTGGTCTAAGGAAGGTACGCAGCTAAAATTAGGTCTTTCCTCGAAGAAAAGTCAGGAGAGCAGAGGGAGGTGCAAGAAATGGCAGAAAAGCTGGTAAAACCTAAAGATTTTTTTCCCCACATGAAAAGGATGGGGAGGCATGCAAGGAGGCATGCAAGGTGAATACATGGGATGTTGAAGTTGTGCAGTTGTAGAACACTCGGTAGTAGCGTGAAACATGGCTGGGGAGAACTATTCCTATTGAATCACATAGTACACATGGGTTGTGTCTTTGTATCTTCACATAGAGGGAGGAAAGTGACAAAGGGGGGGATAGGGTGGGGGAGGGAGAGAGAATTATTCAGAGGTTAGAGTCTGGAGATATGCAAATAGAACAGAGGTCAGTGGTTGTGGAACCAGGTCTTGACAGTGCTGCAATAAAATCCATATTTTATGGAGAGTTAAATGCAGTGCTTTGTAAGTGCAACTGGATGTTCGTCTAATTCCTGATGACATTTAAGGATCAAGAAGTTTAACGGCTGAAATTACACTCAGCCCTGCAGCACATCTGCTACCTTTAGCCAGGAAGGGACCAAGAGCTGCCTCTTTATGATGCCTGTGATTTAAAGTTTTCTGATGAAAAGATCTGAAAGGAAGATTTTTTTTTTTACACTCACCAGTTCCAAGAGGGAAAGGTAATGGATCAACTTGATGACCAAAGATCTTTAAGTGTGTTTCACTCACGAATAACATGCTAAACAGAAGCAGTTATCTGCATGTGTTATTTATTGTGCTAGTATGTTAATCAGCCCCCACTTAGTACTGTGCCACAGATAAACATAGCTCCTTCTTACCACTTTGAAACTTGTGCGCAAAACTGTGTCCTCAGCTTTTTACTTATATATGTGCAAACGTAGAAGGGGAGAGAGATGCCAGATGTTGATGTATAACTACAAGGGGATACTCCCAGGGTGAGGTGGTTATGCTCTGTTCATGCAGTGGCTTACTGTGGCTCTTCATTTTCTTTGAAGAGCCCCTCAGACAATGTGTAAGAACTTGGGTGGGATGCATCAGGGATTACCAGTCATATAATGCATGTTCTTTGTCCATTCAAGACAGGCTTGTTTCATGGGCATGCTCAGCTTTGGCCAGAAAAGTGTTTGCTTGAAACTTTAATGGTTCCATAAATCTGAACACTGGTGGTCAGTGTCTTCCCCTCCCCCTTTCAGAGAGTTGATGGAGGCAATAACTTTCATTTGGGGAAGGAGGGCGTGGAATTTGCAATTGAGTCTGACAGGATGAGATCAAAGAGATTCCCCTTGAGCAGTGCATAAGCAGAGTTCCTTCAGGATGTGCCACTCAAAGAGAATCCAGTGAAATGGGATTCTTTAAGCAGATCAAGTGTGCTAATAAATAACTGCAAGACCAGGATTGGTCCTCTGTGAAATTATCAACCAGGCTTTAGTGCTGCTCTGCTTACTTGATTTCTCAATTGCATTGAATCTACCGTGGCCCAAATTTAGGGTGATTTGTGAGTAAAAGAGACTGGTTACTCAAGAATAAAAGGCAGAAGCAGCAGCAGTGTCAGAGAGTGTGCGGGTTGGAGGGAAATGTCTTAAAAGCAAGTGGAAATGATTCAGTCTGACGCTGGCTCCCTGCAGTTATCCTCTGCAGCCATTTGAGGTTCTTGAAAGCTGGTGTCCCCTCTAGGGAGTTGCTAGTTGCTCCTTAAGTAGCCCCCATTCCCAGTTTCTTACTATTACATATCTCAAGGCTAACCGTCAATATTTCTGCCCTGTCTTTTAAATGTGTTTATGTGTGCTTGTGTGCTAAAATCACACTGTTCTACCTGAGATATATACATCTCTCAACAACTGCCTATTCACCCATATCATATGCCATGCAAAATCAATCAGTTAAAATACACTTTTCCCCCTAATTAAAAAGAGTGTTCGCATAGAAAGAACTGCTTGATAACTTAATGGTTTGGGTATCTGGCTGTACAGCCAAAGGTAGATTCCCCACCATGATCCATAAAGTCCTTTTCACCTCTGCAGGTCTAAGATTATAATCATTACTATTTTACAGTTCTCAAAGCCACAACTTTATATATTAGGTGGCAATGAGGAAGACATTTACTCCTTCTCTCTGTTTCCTGAACATATGCTACTGAGCATTAGAAACTTGGTGGAACTTTTTAGCAAACTAGTTCTGCTATCTAGATTGGAGGTACACATGCCTTTGGAATTAAGATGAACAGGTTCACTGAGGGGTGTTGCCTTCTCCTGAAACACAGAATTTTTTCTTCGCTGCCTCTTTCTTACTAGCATAAGCTCCTATTTGCTGCTTGGTTTTGATCAGTTTCCAAACCTGGCACCAACCACATGTGTTCAACTGTAATGTCTATCATCTCTATTTTGTGGATGATGGGAGTAATCCAACACATCTGGTTAGGAAAGTGGATACAGATAATCTGGGATTTGAGCAGAACTAACACTGTCAAATACTGCTTTCTGTGCAATGTGATAAATGGGATTATTTTGGGAATGAATAACATACAGTAGCCAAATATTGGAATCCATCTTTTATTGGAATAATTTTATTTTATTTTTTTTGCTTTCTGTCCCTTCCCTTCAGTCCTTTGTCTATAAAATTATTTGAAAATCAAGCAGATTAATGAACACACACTCCATGGAATGATCTTGTCTATGCACTAGAATGACATTTTTGCCTGATGGTTTGGTGCGGAAGTTGATTTATACTTTATTAACATTGATACGTAATTTTGAACGATTAATGGAGTAGAAGAAGGAAGTCTGGCATGAACATCTTCCCTTGGGTTATTGATTTCTGTGTTGACAGCCCCTTCTAAATGAAGTGGGGTCTGGTCTGAGAAGACAAAAAAGTTACTTGGTTAGGAATGTATGGTTCATTCAAGAAAACTGCTCTTTCCTTTCTCCTCCTTCCTTTTTATTTAACAGCTATTTAACTCACTTGACAAAAAAGATAAAAAAACTGTAAACAGTTTTTTTAACCCCCTTCCCTTCCCTTTGAAAAATGAATTACATATGGAATATTATCTATATTATAGGAGACTGAAAGGAAATATGTCAGTTGCAGAGTATACTATGGGACATTACTATAATATTTTATTTAAAAAAACTTTAGAAGTGTATCATCATGTTACTGCTTCACATCCTTTTATTCTCCCACCCCCATGTTAGCAAGCTAAAGGTTGGGATGTCAATTTGAAGGTGGATGAGTTGGTTTCAGTCATTTGCTCTAGACACCAACTTCTTATGTGACCTCGGGCAATTTGTTTAGCATAATTTCACTCAAAAGCACTGGCACTTTTCCCGCCCTCACAACTGTATCTCACAGAAATTTTTTATGTAGTCTAATCCTGCAATGTCATGTTTGTTCTTGTAGGACAGTATTTCGTGAGGCCTAAAATCATGAACACTGTCCAACACATGCAGAAATACCTATACCCTATATCTGAAAATAGATAGTTGGGGTGTGTGTGTTTGTGTGTACATAGGTACACTATGGAGGAAACACTTTAAAGTCAATGTTAATAGTATTTCATTTTCACTATGCTTAAGAGGGGAATAATAGGACTTCAAAGTGGTTTAAATTTAGCTGGCTTATGCCCTCTTACTAGTCCTTGAGCTCCTGGCAAACCAATTTAAATCAGTTTGATTTGTCAGAGCCATTACAAAACTTAAAAAAAGAAAGAATGTGGAATCAGATGCCTTGAGCATAGATCAAGAATTTGGATAGTGGAGCACCAAGGTAATATTGGAGGCTGATAAATCACATTCCGCCTGTTAATTACACCTACTCCTTGAGCAGTGTCTCATTGCAAGATGTAGCAAATCATACATTTAGTGGAATAAAATTTATGAATGAAGTTTATTGGACATTCCTTATTTTAAAGTGGTTCCCCTCTTTCATTGCATAGGGTGTTTGGAAAACATTCTGTCATTGAAAACACAAGAGCTCCTTAGCCCATCAAGGACTTTCCTTTAATATTTAAAGACTTAATGGCCTTTGACTGAATATGTGGGGTAAAACAAGCAGAAATGAACAAGATGGGTGTTACAACTGTGGCGACTAGATATCCACATTGATTTAGTTGTTAATTGTGGAACATCTGTCAGTAGAATCTAAATACAGTATCACTATCATTTCTTATTTTGCTGTTCAGCATTTCACTCATATAGAGTTTATTCTCCCATACAGGAATTTAACTTTATAGAAATATGATATGGTATATGAAAATGACTTCAGAAAAGTTAAATTCCTGCCCTTAATATGTTTAAGAACTTCTCCTTTCCTTTTTATGGTTGTCACCTGGTTAAATAAAGTTTAGTTTATTAATTATATGAGGTTTTCTTCAAGCAAGAAACTTTGCCTATAATAACGGGGGGGG